CACAATCCTTCCCCCATCACCGACAATCTTGGCACCGAAGACGATCTCCCACTCGACGATGCCCATTCGTTGGAAACGAATGTACAGGCAATGCCGGATGAGTCTTCGGATATGCCACGTACAGAGGCCGCATCTGAAGGTGGGCAACGGACACCGGTCGAAGTACTTCGACCAACTACTTCTATTCGGTCGAATGTGGGGCAAAGCACGGGGCAATCACCGCCAGCGACGTCACGCGATGCTTGCCCTACACAACGGCACGACGCCCGTCGATCGAATGATAGATTCAGGGCTATGGAGAGAAGGCTGGATCTTTTAGCTTCGGACATGGCGGAGGTGAAGACGGATTTGGCGGAGGTCAAGTCCGACTTGAGTGAAATGAAACTCATGCTTCAACGGTTGTGCCAGGTAGCCTTTTCCTATGACTTGGTATAGTTCGTATACTGTATGTATTCATTCAATTGAAGTGCTAATACGTTAGTTCGTTTGCAGATTGATAGGCGAGAAGTGAATATTGGTGTCTTTCCGTCGGATACAGTCCACGTGTCACATCCATTGGTATCCAGTGTTATCCCCGAGCATGATGGGGTTGTTGATGACAATCAACCTAGAGGTTCCTATGCTGGAAAGGAGGACGATGTGGTTCCTGTAGATGTTATGCTCTCGATCTCATTCCCTATCGTTCTTCTCCATGTATATTTATAATATCGCAAAGATAACAACAACCTATCTTTCTCGCTATCTCGCTTTCTAAATTTCTCGACTTCTCTCTTTCTCGCTATCTCGCTTTCTAAATTTCTCGATTTCTCTCTTTCTCGCTATCTCTCTTTCTAAATTTCTCTCTTTCTCGCTATCTCGCGTTCTAGACGTATGTATCCATACCCACTTATCTTATAATTAAGATGTTAGTAAGGGGAATAAGAGGGAGGGTGGTTAATTAATGCGCCCTTTTCCATTTCAAATCCTCCTCACAGTCCCAGCCCCAGTTGTCTTTCCACCTTTTCAATGCAGTAATTAATTACTCTTCCTCTTCCTTCCTACCCGTTATCCCGATTTTCGATTTAATTATTTTTTCAATTTTCCATGAAACCAACCAAGAATTTCTCTATATATAGATACCACAAAGTACACAACAACGACATCCAGATTAGAAGTATCTATCTATCTATCTAACATTTATTAGAAGCAAACATGTCAACATCTTACGAGTCGGACGGTTCCTCTTCCGACGGAGCAACCAGTCCTATCTCAAACCATCCCTCCTCCTTCGCGGAGAACGGAGTGCCAATTAACGGTCCTCTTCAACAAGCACAGGAAGAAAACGACCAGCTCAGGAGAAAGCTACGTCGAATGCAACACGAGCTCAACAACACGAGGTATAAGTTAGCCCGGGTTGAAGAAATGCGGGACTTGCTGGAGGGACTGCTGAAGGAGGAGAATGAGGAACGACTTCGTCTGGAGGACAGAGTGGATCAGTTACTGGCCCGTCTACGCCGTAATAATAATAATAATTTTTAAAATCCCATTTTAGTAGTAGTTTATGGTTGTTGTTTTGTTTAAGCTACTAAAAAAAACTTTTTGTAATGGGATGGATGGATGGAGCCCCTGTTTCCTACTTTAATGAATCAATTATTATTATTTTTGTTGTTACTGCTTACTTACTTTCTCAATATCCTACGGTCTTCTTTCTCTTACACGTTCATTCTCGTTCGTGATAATTTTCGTTGATTTTCGTTGTACTTCAAAAATTTATTTATCCTTATTGTCATCACGGTCACTTACTTATTACTATTTCTTCCACATTATTATATATCCACTTATATGCTGTTAATCGTTCACGATGAAGTCTCATTTTCGTTCAAGCTCATTCTCGTTCAAGCTTATTCACGATCTCTTTCGTTATCTGTTTTGCACTCTCGCTGCTATTTTCCACTGCACCCGTTTATTCTCAATAGACTGAAATCGAATAAGTATAAAAAAAATAAATAGATGCAGCCT